TCTTGGTGCCTCCCGACGCGCGCGCGCACGCAAACCACACCAGCGAGTCAGGCTTCGTTTTTTGCTTCTCAACCTCGAACCGTCTGCAACACCACCTGCCTCTGTCTCTGCGTCTTGTCTCGGGCCCGGTTTCTGTCCGTCGAATCGTGAGCGAGTCGTGACGACCTTTCGGTCCGGAGCCGACTACATACTGGACCCAGTCTGTTGGTCAGTCAGTCAGTCACTCAGTCAGGCTTACACAGTCGGTCTGCCTCTCTGCTTTGCCTGTCCGTTGCCCGTCTCCTCTGTCGAGAGGATCCCGTCGCAGGTGGATCGCGGCTGTGAAGCCAGTTCTCGATACGGCAACGACCCCTGGACCCCATTCGGGCCTTGGACGTCATCAGCAATTTGCGCCGACCCGGCATCTGGGGTAACCTTTTCTTCCTTTTCTCGGGCTTTTTCCCTTATCATTCTGTCTCTCCCCCTCTATTGTTCTGCTCCTTGTCGGCCGAGTCTGTCAAGCGAAAATCCCTCGCTACAAGTAGTAGTACTAGTATATGTATCGCGTCTCTCACTCTCTCTCCCCTGTCGGTCCTTGCCTTGGCTGTCTGTTCATCATGAACAAAGCTTCATGACTTGTCTTACCACTGGGCCGGATCGCACTTCCTTGGCGCATCTACCGCTCCAAATCTTGCCCTATCGACATCCTCAAAGTCTCATCTCCAGCAGATAACCTATCCATCGGACATTGAACAAGAACGAAATGAAGCCTCGCGCATGAAGCTCCATTTCGTGCCACTCTATCGGCCTTCTAGAATGGTAGCTCTCCACACTTCGACCTCCACACACACCCGTCCCCACTGGCCTCTTCATCTCCCCCCTCCCGGTTGACCAGTTGCCCCTTGTCCCCCCCTTTTTAGCCCTTGTTGGCCGCAATCCTCGTCTGTTCATCGACATGTGTGAATACGTATGTACAGAGTACAGAGTACGAATTGGGGACTCGTACAGGCACACGCATGTCTGTGGCCTAAAAGAAACGTCATCAACAGTTGCTCTCCCTGTAATACGGGGTAATACAGAAGACGGGCTTGGTAAGGTAAGTACGACTACATACATGTGGTCGGAGACGTTCATCGCCATATTCATAGTAGTAGTGTGTTTCCGATGATGCACCTGAATTGCTGCTTGGCAGAGCAGGCAGGGTCCCTCCCCTTGTCCTGCAGCTAATCTCACTTGATTGCTTAATCACGATTTGGAAATACAAGTTGATATAAGCTTCGCCTTGGAATTGCAATACTAGTGGTTAATTTCGCTCAAATAGCATCATCTTACAAAGTATGACACGTCCGGGTAGTATTGATTACTATGTGGTACTGGCTCTGACTTCATGTTCCTAAGCCATCATCCGTACTTGGCACAGAGCTGAAAGTCCTTTTCTATACTTTCAGACGCGTAAGACTGATATACCGCCTCTCCTACTGTCAAGGTCACAGCATTGGCTCGCCAACAGGCATCTCACACTGGGGAGCTGAACGAATGCAAGGCGAACCGGCCTTTTCAATGCCAGCATGCCACGTAATCATCCGCTCCATCCCGCTCTCACCACCCATCTACCGGCCAGGGAGAGAGAGAGAGAGAGAGAGAGCTCGAAAGGGGAGGAGAAGGAGATACACCAGGTCAGATCCCAAACGGGACAAAAGCTGACGACATGCTGCTTTGGGATATCCGACGATGCTACGCAAGATGGGAAACAGTACTGCCTTCTTGCTTGATATGGCATGTAGCAGTTTTTGTTCATATCCCGTTCGTCTCCTCGCGGGGTTTGCCTTGGTCAGCACCCGTGAAATACCATAAAATTCGACAATGGGTCAAAGGAAAAAGAAAAAGAAAAAGAAACGTGACAGACGTGGAAGGGGATAGACGGCCGAATGCCACTCTCGCCGTCGCCTACATCAGATGGCATACACTTTGTAGTTACTGCGTAGTCCATACAGACAGATATGCATCTGTATCTGCAATCGATTCAAGGTTTCAGTCGCTGGAACCAGGAACGACAGCGCCCCCAACCCAGAAACGTCACCAATAGCCATCCTACAAGTCATATACATTGTCTTAGCCGGCACGGGAGTTCGTGGTGAAGCAGACGGGGAGTACATACTATGTAGCACCATGGGCATGAGAAGCTAAAAAGTGTCGCCATGCTGAATCGCGGTGCTCACAATACTTATTACACACCTATGGGGTTTCTCTACCTTACCTACTTTACCTACACCACTTACATCTGTGATCGTAGTATTAACTTAGGTGAATATGCATAGTACTACATGACAGCACACAACGCACTTGGTATCACCGTGGCATTTTCCTCTTTCCACGCCTCTCTCTCTCTGGCATATAGTGGACATGTCGAGCAGCCACCCTCTTCTGTGAGTTTATATGACGGGGTTTTCGGATCTACTACATGGGTCTGTTGTTGCTGCAGCGGAGTAACTGAGACATCGCCGAAACGTTACTGCTTGCTCAGATCAGCCCGAGGGCCGGCAGCAAGTAGTTGCAGTCCGTAGATGAAGAAGAGAACTCGTGGCCCGGGCGTTTCAGCAGACTGATACTCGTTGACGACACTTTGATTACCTTACTACTAGGTAGGTAGGTAACAAAGACAAGGTAGTACCACTGGCTAAGTAAGTGTACCTAGTTCGAAGATGCGAGTAGCCAAGAAAAAAGAAAAAGCTCGCTCGCTTCGGTTAAACCACAGACGAGAGAGCAAACGACGTGATACTGCATCCGAGAGGCGCGGTCCGACAAGTTGGCGAGGCGGAAACCGGCAGTTAGAACCCCAAGGTACTACTACTGCGGTAAACCCTTGAATGACTTCACGGTGAAGGAGGAATCACAGAAAGGGAAAAGGGAAACAGGCAGACATTATGGAGACGGTGGCATTTTATGTGTAAAGAAGCTCTATTTTGTATTACCTGAGTTGTGTAAGTGATGTACGTGCCCTGGTCATTGGGAGGCCCAAGAAGTAGGTTGTCTAGAGTTTCTTTTCCGTCTTGTCGGCTGGCTCGTCGAGTTCGTCTTCTCTGGAGACGCGTTTGCCTTGGACTGCTGCTTCGGCCTCTGAGACAAGGCTTTCGAGGTACTCCTTATCCCTATCCGACAGATACACATTAGTCGAGCCTCAGCCAAGGTCGAAATCCAATCTGTGAAGAACAGCATGTAGAGGGGAAAGGACAGGAGTGTTGTGAAATACATACCTTCCAACCAACGTTACAGTGTTGCGCTTTCTGCCCCATCGCGGATAGCTCCCTACTTTCACGCCGTGCGGCTCGACCTTGGCGGCCAGCTCGGTGAGGTACTCCGCCACGGCGCTTTCGGGCAGGGGCGTGGAGATCATGATCCGGTGGGTTCCTTTGCCTTCGGGGTCGACGAGGCGGGGGAGGATGTGAGGCTTCAAGCCGTCGAGCAGCTTTTGGACTATGAAGTGGCAAAGTGGTCAAACAGCCCTTGTCAGTCTTGCCCTTTGCCTGTGGAATGTTTGTAGCAACAGAATTTGAGAGGTACTTCGTTTCACTCACAGAGCAGCGGCACTCCGGGCAGGATATGCACATTCCCGTTCACAACCGAAACAGGAACCCACATGTCTTCCTGCGGGAAGATGAACTGTTCGCTCAGGGGGCGCGACTCATCCGTCGGAAGCTCAACCATGCGCAGCCTGGCCCTGAGGGCCGGTGAATCGACGTTCCAGTCAAAGTCGGGCTGCTTGGGGTGCGGCTTGGAGAGCTTCTTCATCTTCTCGTAGGCTTCCTGGTGGAGCTTCAGGGGTAGCCCGAAGGCTTTGGCGATGGACTGGTAGGTGATGTCGTCGTGTCTGTGAGATTTTTGATGGCATTTGTGAGAAAGGGCGATTGCATATTGGGGAAGGGGTATCTCTTACGTTGGGCCGATGCCTCCGCTGTGGGTTGAGTTCACGATAGTTAGCAGAAGAGCTTGGCCTTTTCTTGACGTCTCGTGAGCTCACCTTGTGACGACAAAGTCGTAGCGGTTGCTCATTCGGGCCACGGCCTCCATGATTTCACTCTCATCGTCTTCGATGACTTCAATTCGTTTCAGGCCCTACATGGCAAGGAAATGTCAGATCACTCCAAGCGTCATATACATGCAATGAAGACTGTAAACTCACGATGCCAAGAGAGAAGCACCATTTTGCCATGTATGCCGAGTTTGTCTGCGAAAGCGTCAACACACGCCTCTCTCCACCCCTACGTTCCACGCAGCTCATCATGTACTGACATCAACAGTCTGTTTGCATCGTTAGCTTCCCTTCTGATCATCTAGGATTCACGCGGAAAAAGCACACCTTTCCGCCGAGCACCTCATCGCCGATGATCAGGCACGCCGCCGTCTGGATGAGGCGTTTCTCCGGAGCCGACATTTTCAACGGGAAAGCGGCTGGACGAGCGCGAGATGTGGTGATGAAGGAGTGAGATGCGGCGGTGGGTAAGCGATGACCTGCAGCCTTGGATAGCCGCGTGAACATGGATGCAGAGGTGGGAGAACAGACGAGACGAGGCTAAGCGTGAATGCACGATTTCCAACCCTTTCACAGTGGATCGGATCGATTTCTCGTGTGATGACAGAACGTATAGGTCAAGGATAGAAAGTTGACTTCTGTATCTTGAGAAGAATTGTCAAGAATCCTCAGCTGGTGTTTGAACGTTTGGAATTCGAGCAAGAAAGGCGTAAAGACGGCCCGTGACGCCATTTTCGCGGGCGAGGCCGGCGATGGACTTGGTTGAGATGTGGGGGGTTCGTTTTAGCGGCTTAGCGGGGAACTGGAAGAGGGGAGCTCTGTGCTGACTTGGGGATATGGGATGACCTCTGCTGCTACCCTTCGAGGCCGCATATTCAGCTCTTTGCACAGGTACTCGAACAATATCTGGAAGCTATATAACGGCTCGAGTCTTGTCAATCCCGCCTGTAACCCTTTCTATATCCCTCACCAGCTTCACAGCACCACAGCCATGGCAAGTCGTCCCATCAGCACCCCGCCATGCATGATCCTCTGACGATGCCCCTCTCCCCTGCCCAAAGCATGTGTACGCATGTATGAATGCTAACTCGGTGGTTGATCGGGCGAGAAAACAGGCTTCCGAATCAAGGCTCTACAACATCTCCGGCGAGACCAAGGAGCACCTGCGCAAGTTCCGGCTGACGACATCCCGCGCCAGCAAGCCGCAAGCAATCATCTGTATGTACGTCGAGAGCTGTGGGCTATCGCGAGAACGAACAACAACACACGTTGCTCGATCCAGATTTCAATCCAATGCTAACCGGCAACTTCCCCTTGGAAAACAGACCTGATTGATAAATCTACCCACGAAATCCGCCAGGACGACGACAAGACCACATACACGTCCCTCGACGAAATCGCCGACGACCTCCCCGACCATGCCCCCCGATTCATCCTCCTCAGCTACCCCCTGACAATGGTCGGTTTGATCTCTTTTCCCCATCTGGAACATATGCATACCTACATTACAGCATCAGCATGGCTTACATGTGTTCAATACAGCCCGACGGACGGTTATCGGTGCCCTACGTGCTTCTCTACTACCTCCCCATCACAACCAACGCCGAGACGAGGATGCTCTACGCCGGCGCAAAGGAGCTGATACGCAACACGGCCGAGGTCAACAAGGTCATTGATATAGAGTCGGCGGAGGATCTGGAGGACATTCCCAAGCAGCTGGCCACGGAGAAATATTAGGACTTGGATGAAGTGGAGAAAGAGAAACGCTGCTGTTTTGCTTTGGCTATGCCGATCCAGCATGATATATCCAATCATTTACTGCTAGATCTTTTCTATATACATGTACATTTTCCTTTTGCCATGATAACACATCTCATTCTGGCAGCACACTCTTCTCATCCAAGCCCAGCTGCCGCCCTACATTCCTCACCACCTGCTTGAACGCAACGCACGCCGGACTATCAGGGAACGAATCAAAGAAGCTCTCCCCGTAATCGCACGCCATCCGTATCCTCGGATCCAAGGGCACCGACCCCAGGAACGGGATCCCCATCTCCTCCGCCAGCGCCCTTCCGCCCCCCGTGCTCGCCCTGAAGATCTGGCTCTCGCCCTTGCAGTTGGGGCACACGAAGGCGCTCATGTTCTCCGCCAGCCCCAGGATCCGGATGCCCGCCTTGCGGCAAAAGTCGATCTCCTTGCGCACGTCCAGCAGCGCCACCTCCTGCGGCGTCGTCACCACCACCGCGCCGTCGATGCCGCTCTCCTTCAGGAACGAGTTGACGCTCAGGTGCTCGTCGCTCGTCCCCGGCGGCGTGTCCACCAGCAGGAAATCCAACTCCCCCCACTCCACGTCCTTGAGGAACTGCTTGATCAGCCCGTTCTTCTTCGGGCCCCTCCAGATGATGGCCGCGTCTCGGTCCGGCAGCATGAACTGGATCGACATGACGGCCAGGTTCTCCGTCACCCACACCGGCGACATGCCCGTCGCGCTGACGTGGATCGTCTCGTCTTCCACGCCCAGCATCTTGGCCGTGCTGGGGCCCGTGATGTCGGCATCCATGACGCCCACCGTGCTGTCGGGGTTCGTCGAAAAGGCATGCGCCAGGAGGTTTGTGAACGTGCTCTTCCCTACGCCGCCCTTTCCGCTCAGCACAAGTATCTTGTGCTTGACGTTCTCTAACCGCGCCGTGATGATCGGAATGTCTGGGTCGGGGCCCTTCGGGGCTGATGCGCAGATGGCCTGGTTGGGACAGCCATCGCATGATGACGCCGTGCCGGCACGCTCGGATTCGGGGCCTGGGCAGTGTTCCGGCTCGGGCGCAATGAGCTGGGGCTTCTGTTTGAGGGGATTGGCAAGAACGTCGGCGACGGCCTCTGGCTCTTCTAATGAAGGCGCCATTGCAGCGGTTGTACGGGCTCTGGGTTGCGGTGACGTTTCCTTGTGGTATCAGCGGTTGGGCTAATCGCTCTTTTCTCTTCTTTGGGATTCCTTCCAAAAGAATCACAGGATAGCCCCGAGGGTCGAAAATGGAGAGAAGTTGTATGGAGCGAAAGAGTCGATGTTTCTTGGTTCGGACTTGGTAAGATAGAGGTGAGTGGCTAAAGCTTAATAATGGGAGCTACACGAGTGGAAAGCTGGAGTTGGTAAGCCATCACGTCCGAGATCGGGACATTTGACAAGGATGCAAACTGCAGCACTTGAGTCCCTGCTGCTCAGTGAAAACATTGCAGACTTGATCGTAGAAAAACTAAGATATTCTTTTCATCGGCGAAGAGAATTACTGTAGAAACCATAAAAGAATATGCCCGCGTTCTCCAGCAAAAGAACTACAGGGTAGGCAACCAATTACACTGAAAGGCCGTATTCGCCACCCCTCGTCTTTTTGCTGTATTTACGGAGGAAGCACTTACTGACTGAGCAGAGACGACCGGATAAAATTGGGTCAAGAAAAGGGTAAAATCAAAAGTTGATACCAAAATAATATCCAGAAGAATATGGACAAAGCGCTGAGGATAGACGACTGATACAAGAGCAAAAGAGACAAAAAAGTCAAAAAAGAAGAGTCTAGGTTCCAGAGGGAGTCGAACCCTCGCTGGCGGAATCAGAATCCGCAGTCATAACCGTTAGACCATGGAACCGCTGAAGTGGTTATCCACTTCTCATGGCTTGCCAACTCCGCTCCATTTGCGCCTTATAAAGTGCTTCGACTTTGAATTCTCCAATTATTTCGCCCCAAATCCGCTCTGCATCTGATAAGAGAAATTCGAGACTGTCACCCCACCACCCCACCTAAATTTTCGTTCCTCGATAGAGTGCGTGCAACTCGGCTCGGTCTCCGTCGATTTCGTTTCGAGATACCCTTAGATTTTTGCGAATAGACAAAATCGAAGCAAAATTCGGAATTCATTATGCCCAACGCCACCATCGCGAGCCTCAGACAGAGCCTCTGCTCAGAGGAAACGCCCCTCCCGGTTCGCTTCCGCGCCTTGTTCTCCCTTAAGCATGTCGCAAAGACGTCCGACGCCGAAGAGGCCCTCGCGGCCATCGAAGCCATCGCCGCTGCCTTCGCTTCACCGTCTGCGCTCCTGAAGCACGAGGTTGCGTACTGTCTTGGGCAGACTGGAAATGAGGCAGCTATTGCGCCTCTGCGAGATGTCTTGTCAGATCTGAAGGAGGATCCCATGTGCAGACATGAGGCCGCTGAGGCTCTGGGTGCGCTGGGTAACGCTTCCAGCTTGGATCTGCTAAAGCAGTTTAGAGATCGTGCTGGCGAGGAGATTGTTGTCAAAGAGACTTGCGAGATTGCCATTGATCGCATTGAGTGGGAAAACTCTGAGGCAAGGAAGCAGGAGAAGCTGCGTCAAAGGTACTTATACCATTTTTTTGTCAATGTTTGGTTTCAATTCGCTAATATTCTATCTAGCGACTTTGCTTCGGTCGACCCGGCGCCTCCCATGCCCGAATTCCAACAGTCGGTTGAGGAACTGGAGAGAGTGCTGCTGGACGCCAACCAGCCGCTCTTCATGCGATACCGTGCCATGTTTGCCCTCCGCGATCTTGCCTCCCCCCCTGACCTCCCGACCGCCGTCCCTGCCGTCCACGCCCTTGCCAAGGGCTTCGCCGACTCCTCAGCCCTCTTCCGCCACGAGATTGCCTTTGTCTTTGGCCAGCTTTCACATCCCGCGTCTATCCCTGCCCTCACCGAGGCCCTGAGCAACCAGGAAGAGGCCAGCATGGTGCGCCACGAAGCTGCCGAGGCGCTAGGCAGTCTCGGAGACGAGGAGGGCGTCGAGGACATCCTGAAGCGCTTCCTTCACGACAAGGAGCAGGTTGTTCGCGAGAGCGTCATTGTGGCGCTGGACATGGCCGAGTATGAGAGAGGCGGCGAGACGGAATATGCTTTGATCCCAGAGGTAGCCGGCGCCTCTGCGTAAAGGAAAGGAAGGAGTTGAATAAAAGTTTTCCCCAATATGTTTATAGATGTCTTCCCACATAGAGAAAAATGCAGAGCCTTTTAATTGTTTTCGTGCCAGCTGTTGCCACACTCGCAGTTATAGATGACGGTTGAACCTTCGTCGGCGCTTCGCAGCTGCACCGTGGTGTACTTGACTTCTTCTCGGCCGCAGTTGGGGCATCGCTCGCGAACGGTGCTCTCGGTGTTGAGCGTGTGACGCTCCACGGCCTGGACGCTGGACTGGAGCTTCTGGCGCAAGAAAGAAGGGAAATCCGAGGGCTTCGATTGTGTCACGATGATCTTGGCGCCAGTATCTGAGATTCTCATTCGTTAATACTTCCCTTCTGGTGCGTCAAGCAAGATTTCTCAAGCCATTCAAACCTTTGTTCTCGGCGCTGCAGCACTCGCAGCTCAACACATTCTGCTCGGTTCCTTTAGTCGCCGGAAGTAGATTTCCGCAGTCGGTGCAGAAGACCATGGACCCAATGGCAGCCATTTTCTTGAAATTTTTTTCCGTTTCCCCAAAGGATCTTCTCAAGCCAAATTGCCAGCGCAGAGCCCAATGACGAATTTTCTACGTGTGAGCACCGAATGGAGGGATTCGCGTGGAACCAGCTGTACAAAAATTGTCATGCAAGACAACTGGCAAAAGATCTTGCAGCACCACTGACAGGGGCCTGCTAATCCGGAATAACTGATAAGGCAAGGTACCGGGCACCGGAAGCGCGTCTGATTGGCCGAGGCTGCGCCGCACGGGCCATTGGGTTCCTTTTGCGCTGACGAGATTGGTCCAGCGAGGCTGTCGGGATTCTCCAGGCTGGCGATGCGCGTGAGGTCCCAGGATTCGACGAGAGCCAGAACATCGTACCCAACCGGCAGCTCTTTGGGCACGCATTTGAAGCCACGCCGAGCTGCTGTTCATGCGTTGTTAATTCGACCACTTCGCTGCCCTCGACGCCACCGGCCCGCCGCTCCGGCGCTCCCAATCCCCCCTTCCTCGCCGGCCGGTTCTTTCAAAAAGCTGCACCTCTGCCGTCCCAGTTCCTCCCATGACACGCTGAGGAGCCTCTTGCTGCGCCTGTAGCTCCCGTGTCGACGATGCGTCCCTTCTGAGGTCTCGTCAGCATCCCGACTCTGGCAGACATGCAGCCAAACAACATGCCACGCTCCGACGAGGGCGGCAGCGCCAACCACGGCGCGGCTGCCACTCAGAACGCGATATCGCGACCGTTTACGCTGCAGGAATCTCTGCCGTACTCTCCACAAACCTCAACCGTTCCGTTTGTTTCTGGTGAGCCACGACCACGTCTCTGCTCGGGATTCCCACCATTTGATCGCCTTCACCCTTCATCTTGTCTATCCTGAAGCTCTACCTTCGTCCTCTGTATGCTGGGAAGCTACTAACGCTGCTCCTTCCTCCAGAAATCATTCCCGACCCTAGCCTGGGTTTTGGCTCGCCCGCTCCTTCCATCTCAGATCTCTTCCCCCATAGCGAATACGAGCGACTGAACAAAGAGGCTCTCGGCCAGCCTCACCTTCCACGAAGCACCAAGCAAGCCGTTGACCTTGTCTTGCATGAAATCAAGCCGTCTCAAAGAACGCATTAGTATGTCGGAAGCTCTCGGCCGGGTGCATCTGCTAACATCCTACGCAGCAACTTCAAGTCCGTACTGGCAGGGCAACCGAACCCTCGGTCTGCTAGCCTCTCGCAGGGTCTATCTCCCATTGCGCGGGCCGTCTATGAGAAGGTCGGAGGCTACTTCAAGGCGACGAAACCTCATGTTGCGGGCCCTCACGCTGTTGGCGTTAACGGCGACAAGAGCCACACACTCGCAGTGGATATGGCGGTGCAAAGCAGCTTGCCTGAGAACCCTGCAGCTCATCCAGATGGCTCTGCGAGACCCAAGGCCAGTCAGTCAAGGATCGAGGTTCTGATACCGTCCAGACGAGGCTTTGACCCATCGGCCTACATTGATGCCACTGCCTCTTCCAACGTCCAGGCTTCCCCTGTGTCGCCGGAGCAGAAAACACTCCCGGCGCTGCCCATCACGCCGGATGATAACCAGAATGCCGGCTCTGCACCTTCCGATACAAATAACGTCAACTATAACCCTGCCTCATTCCGAGTTGAGCTTCCTTCGTCACATATCAAGAAGGATGAGTACCTGGAAATTGCGCATGTGCCATCAGCTCCCGATAACCTCTCGTCCCGCAAAGAGGACCGACACGCAGCTCCAGATGGCCAAGGCCTCGTTAGCAGTGTCAGCCTTGGCCAACAGCAGCGAGCAGAAGCCGCCCTCGAGTCGATCAACGCTCTTATGCGGAGCGTCTTCGCCGCGGTTGGGCATGCCATTGCAATGGAACCGGGACACGACCAGGTTGTGACGCTGAATGACCAGAACGAGGTCATCATGAACGGTGGAATACACCAGAAGCTACAGAGCGCTATCCAGAAGGCCATATCACTCAAATGCTTCCACAGAGTTCCGATAGAGGATCTCCTCCACATCGTGAAACTGAGCGATAACAGTGTGAGGGCGGCTGAGGCCTTGGAGCTCCGGGTTGACGAAAGTTGGGATGAAGCCAGCCTTGAATCGTGGGTTCAGCAGCTACCAGATGTTGAGCTGGGCATGAAAGCTGCGCGTACATGCCTGCGGATCTTGTCGGGAGGCCGAGAGGATAAGCGGCTCTACGCAGAGGGTGTCATGACCCGATGCTTCAACGTCTTCAAGGCCGTCACCGAAGACATAATCATCCCGCTTGTTGAGCTTCGGAACTCGTCTTCTTCCGCAAGCCTATTCCGGATGCTCGTCAAGCACAAAAAGGCCTTGTCGTCTACTTTCATATGCTGCCAAAGGCTGTTTGCCACCCTCGCGGAGCTGATTACGAAGGTTGAACTCTCGGAGACCGTCCTCAATGCTCTAGAGTACACCGCGTCCAAGCTGGTGTTCGTTGAGAATGCCTATTTCGAGAAGGATTCGGTGGTCGGAGTGCAGCGATTTGATGGTATTCGCAGTGTTGCTATGGACATGCTCTGCCAAATCTTCCTCATCAAGCCCGATCAACGACAGGGCATCATTGATGATATTCTGACCTCTCTGGAGAAGCTTCCCGTAGGAAAGCAAAGCTCCAGGCATTTCAAGCTTTCCGATGGTGGTAACATTCAGCCGGTGTCTGCACTCCTCATGCGATTGGTCCAGGCTAGCTCTGGGAGGGTTGAGGAGAACGAGGGACGCCGCACTGCCGCGCTCCGTGCCCTCGGCGATGAGGGTGATGAGATGGAAGAGGACGCCGAAAGCGAAGATGAGCCGCTTGATCAGAAGGCCAAGAAGGCGGAAATGCTATCCTCCATTAACACCGAGGATCAAGGCGCTCAGCAGCACGCCGTCGCCATTCAAGAGCTGGAGGCGGCTGCCGATCCTCTTAGCGAAAGCGCCGCGCGAAACGCTTCGTACATCATCAACTTCATAGTGAAGCGAGCAATTGGATCGACCAAATCGGGTGATACCCCCTACCGAAACCTTCTGGATCTCTTCGTCGAGGACTTCACCACATGCCTCGATTCCCCAGACTGGCCGTCGGCGGAGCTGCTCTTGCGCCTTCTCATGTTGATGATGGTCCAGCTCTTTGAGGCGCCCAGGACAGCCGCGCCCGCCAAGAACATGGCCCTCGAAATGCTCGGCCACATGAGCGCGGCCATATCGCGTTTGCGTTCCCACGTCAAGCGGACTGCCAACTTGTTCGAGGTTAGCAACGTCGACGAGCTGTCACGATATCTGGCTGCTTTGGCTTGCCACGTTCTTGAGCAGAAGAGCCCGATTGAGCACATTGTCGCCTGGGACGGACCTTATCGAGCGACGCTGGAGTTCCTCCAGGCTCGTCTATCAGACGATCCATACCTGTTCAGCGCGGTGTCGTACCTTATCACTGACTGGGCCACTCGAGTGCACGCTGGGTACGACTCGATCCAGGACAACGACGTTGAGAGAGATCAGGAACTGGGGCGCCTCGCCTATCGGCTCCGAATGATGATACAGGATCGCCGGTGGCTCTCGAATGAATACACATTCAAGGCCGTGAGCCCGACTCAAGCCAAGCTTTCCTACTCCATTCTCCTGCTGCAGTCTCCGCTCTTCGAATCCTTCAACAAGATTCTCAACATTCTCCTTGGTTCAATGGCGAGCGATCAAGCAACAGTACGCAGCAAGAGCTTGAAGAGTATCAATCAAGTTCTGGAGACGGATCCCTCCATCTTGGACGGCGATTCCATGGTGATCCAGCTTATCCTAGACTGCTCAAGCGACTCGTCTACGCAAGTGAGAGACTCTGCCCTTGGCCTTTTGGGAAGCTGCATCGCGCTTCGGCCAGTTTTGGAGGCGCCATTGACACCCAAGGTCATCGATCGCTTCCAAGATGCCGGCGTCGGCGTCAGAAAGCGAGCCATGAAGCTTGCCCGCGACATCTATCTCCGCAATCACGACAATGGCATTCGCAGCTCTATCGCAAATGGCCTGCTCCGACGTGTCCAGGATCCCGACGATGGTGTTCGCGATCTTGCCCGCCAGATGATTGAAGAAGTCTGGTTCGCTCCTTTTTACGGCCGTGACAACTCGGCCGCTTTCCAGACCTCTTTGGCCGAGCATGTCGCTCTGATCATCCAGACAGTCAAGTCAGGCAACGTGACGGAAACTCTAGACAAGGTGTTCCAATCTATTCTCCGACCAAAGGACAAGTCGCTGGAGGGCCCCTTTTCTGTTTGTTCACAGCTTGTGAGCAGCATGTTTAGCCTCATCGACAGCGGAGAATCGGAAGAAGGAGGCCCGACGGGCCGTGATGCCCTGCAGGTGCTCACAATCTTTGCCAAGGCCGACCCCAAGTTGTTCAGTCTCGAACAGATTAGACTTCTGAAACCCCATCTCGCAAGCTTCAGCGGCACCGATGAACTGGCGGCGTTCCGAGCAGTGACGGTGATTTACAAAC